GTATTTTGATATTAGGGCGGGGCGGTTTAGTATACGGGGCAGGGGATTATCTTGTATCCTCGATAGACGTATTGAACATCTCGCAGGCCTACAACAACGTTGCCGCCTCCTAGCTGCATTGGATTGCTATCAAACACCCCACGACGCCCCCCCCCCCCCCCCCCCNNTTAGTAGGGAATAAGGGGATCTAATCCCTCTATAATCCCTATCATACAGTTTATTCCCTTATTCCCTACTAACCCCCAGTAAGTATAGTATCCCAGTATAATCTCCAATATATACCCATCATATAGTAGTTTCCATTTCCTCTTCCATTATTCCCTATTTGAAGCACCTCCCAATATATACCCTATTATAATGTCTGTAGTAGTTTCCATTTTCTTTTCCATTATCCCTATATTACCCAAATATTCCCCTAAACCCTAAACCCCTTATTCCCTACCAGGCGTCAACAGCTAAGGTCATCTACTTTGACCAAGCCAGCAGAGCTGAGAAGAAGGGCGCTTTGGACAAGTCGACAGTCCTCTACGACCCTCGTCTTAGGGTTCAGGCTTTAGGGTTTAGGGTTACATCATGGACCAAGAACAAATGTATATCAGGGTATATATAGGGGTTACATTGGGATAATGGAAAAGAAAATGGAAACTACTATCGGGAGATTTATAACACCATACCCTAAACCCTATATATCCTGATATGACCGTATATACCCCCTCTAAAGGCACCCCTTAATTGGTTTGGCCTGAAGAACTTATGGTTTGAAGTTTAGGAAATATGGGTTCCTTCCTGGGTCCAGATGCTTAAGAAAGAGCTATGGTAAGGGAATAGATCAATCTAGAGTCTGTCTGCTGCAGGGCCCAAACACCTAAACAGATTTGGAAGATCCCGTCTTCTGCCGAGGACAAAGCTTCCCTGTATTGGAACCAGGCCATTCGTACCTGCGGCTCAAAATAGCATCTTCTTTTTTTGGTGTCTGTGTAGCTGCCCTTGTGTGGAGTGCTATCAAGCGCCCATGCTTGGGGCAGGGGGGGCATAGTAAGTACCTCGATAATCAGGGGTGAATTTTTTAGTTTTGATTACCCTTTAGTGGTGGGGATAGCTGGGGTTGTCATATAGCATACTTGGTCCCCTGACCTTCCCGTTAAGGGTGTAGAGCTTAGGGTAACTAAGTAGACATGGTTCCGTTTTAACTTGTGGCCGCTGCGGGTCGGTGAGAGCTAGAGTCGACCCAAGATATTGGAGACCATTCAAAGCTTACTGGGAAGAAGGACATACAATCTCCACATAACTCCACATTATATATGTATGTATTCCCTTCTTAGTCCCTACTAACCCCCAGTAGGATAAGGATTTTGTGGTTACCCTAACCCTATATTTACAACATTTTTTGCTATCACATTAGAAGAGGCGCCCATTTTGGCGGGGTTCAGGGACCTAGCGTCCCCGTTTTGACTATGCAAGGTATACAGTCATGCTTGATGTGCACCCCCCACCCAGTAATAGTGACTAGGGGATTTTTAGGGATTATATGAGGGCCCTTTTATACTCCCATTATACCACCATTACAGGGTGGGGGGTCCTCAAATCATCCTGAAATTAAAGTAGCCCTGTGGTATTGGGGCAGCCATGGTTCATTCTGTGTAATACTCTACCTGCTCTTCCATCCCCGGCTATCAAGAAACCTTTCTGCTAATGCTGAACCTTCCGTATATCTAGTTGGAGTCTTTTTCAGAGTGCATTGGCATCATGGGGATACTGTTCATATATACCCTATAGAACCCTACATATCCTCTGTACAATGCTATATAATCTCTTTAGAGGTTCCGTGTATAAACTTACACCCCCGACCCACTTGACCATAGCCCACAACCACTAGTAAGTTGAGTCTGCGCCGAGGTATTGCCCCAACCAATTACTTGGAGGCTCAGAACTGGCTGATCACCACAGGCGCGTCGAGAAAAGTTATCCTGTGCCTTGCAATCCCAAAAGGGGTTGTTGGTTGGAGTTCCTAAACTATAAAATCAGGGCTTTGATTCTGGTATTGAGGGATACGTAAACTATGCAACTCCAAATTGGATCATCCACTTTTCAAGGTCCCCTAGGTCTGGCAATGACTAAGCCAATTTTGGAGCCCTTAACCCCAAAGCCCTAAACACTCTCGCCCTAAACCTTTGACAGGCTTGACAGGGACTCCGGGATACGCCATTCCTGCAGCGCGATGCGCGTATTGAAACCGTGACCCTACTTGAAGAGTCACGGCGACATAGTAAGTATATGTATGCCCCCCATGAACTTGTAATAACCACAGCTATCCCAATTATGAACCTAGTTCCTGACTCCAATTGACCCTCCAGGTATGCGACCAGAAATCCTGGCCCATATAAACCGCTATATAATCACAGTTTCCATGTAATTTAAAAAGGTTCTTTTCTCATTCGATTCTCCGTTTTACCCTTTTGCACACACACACACATATATATATATATACACGTATATGTACACTACCCGAAGCCCTAGGCAAGACAAGAGATAAATGGTAGTTTCCCAAAACAGGGGGACCCAATATAGCTCAAATGCTATAATCCTTTTTATGGGACCCCTAAAAAGGTACCCCTGATTTTTGGAAACCTTAAGCCCTAAACCTTATATATCCCTATGTAACCCCTATATAACCCCTATCTGGAAAACCCCCATACATATATACATACATACATACATACATACATACATGCTTTTCTCCCGGGGAGCCAGGCCGCATCAGCAAGGAAGCCGAGAGCAAGCTCGGAGGCCTGGCAGCTGCAGAGCATGGGCTGGCCCTCCTGATAAGGTTTTGGGGTTTGGGGTTTAGGGCTTCAGGGTTAAGGGTTTAGGGTTTAAGGGTTTAGGGCTTAAGAGTTCTTTCAGGCCGGCACCTCAGTCCTGGGTTAAAAAGGGCTTAAGGGTTGGGGTTTAAAGGTTTAGGGTTTAGGGCTTAAGGGTTGGGGTCTAAGGGTTTAGGGTTGGAGGGTTTAGGGTATTCAGAGGCCTGGGTACAAAAGGGTAGAGGGAAAGGGATAGGGTTTAGGGCAGAAGGGTTACAGGGGAAATAGCGGATGTGCACATAGGGTTTAGGGAATGGGGTCTTTTTGGCGACCCCCCTACTTGTAGAACTCCTGACATGAGTGGGTTATTTTAAAGGGAGTGTAGCGATAACGGGTTTGGGGCATCAGGTTTTCAGCGCACAGGCGGGCAAGCTGGGCCGGTACTCAAGACCCATTGCAAAAAAGGGCATCAGTTTCCCAGAATATGCGGGGGCTGTCAGCAACCTTCGGATTACATTGGAATGATTGGAAGCTGTAACAGGTCCTTCCTAGACTCAAATCCTCAAACGGGCAGGGCATGTTCGGCACAGTGGATTACAGAGTGCTGTATGGGACTAAAGTACGGAGAGACGTCTGGAATCTGAATACCAGGATTGGCACCAAAAAGAGGGTGTCCTTTCTGGAAGTAGTAGTGCATAATCCGAGGACTAGACTAGAACAATTGGGGGGGGACCACCGCGCCGCCAGAATAAGGAATGAGGGGCGCCGGATTAAAAGAATCTCATTCTTCAGTCGTTGGGGCTCTTGGAGCCAGTCCTTTTGGAGTAACTGTAGATCAAACTACTTGCTTTGACCCACTATCAGGATGGTTCCCCAGAAAATTCTTTAGATATAGTCCTTTTTCCCCATACAAAAATCCACGTAATTCAAAGTAGTCTTCGGAGCTTCATTCCACCAAAAAAGATTTTCTTCAAATATGGTCCCTTTTATTGTTCTAGTGCTCGGATTCAGGGCAATAGAGAGCCCCAAAAGGGCAGTCCTACACGTGCAGGGGAAAGTCATGACACTGCCTCGGAGAATATTTCGAATTGGTCTTGGCCATACCTGCAAGTAGTCGATGGGCACCCACACCCCGAAAGTACGTTTGTTAGCTGTAGCAGTGGCAGTGAGAAGGTTTCACGCCCTTCTTGGTATCCAACGCGAATACACATGATAACAAGGATTTTTAGTGGATTCATCATCATCTCTGTACAGAGGCAACTGCAAGGGATGTTAAGTGCTCACCGTGACAATAAGCCATGGAATGATAGAAGTGATGCCTTGCGTGTAACGGTCAACATGAGGGTCTTCTTGCGACGTTCTTGTAATAGATGCGGGCGCTAGCTTTGGGAAGTACCCTAACAATGCCTGCTCTTGCATGTGCAGGTATTTGGTGACGTCCTTTCCCGGGTGGCTCGATTGAATCAAGCAGCTTCTTGGCAATTGGATGTCGCTTGTTTGTCATCATGCCGAGGTTGGTTTTGTCTCACGCGAAAACCCATTCATTTTCCAGCGCATGGTCGAGATCCTGTACGATCTTGGGCCATGCTGCCAAGACGGGGGCATGGAGGCACCAGAGAGCCTGAAAGACCACATCGGGCAGCAAGCTGGGTTGCTGTTCAGGAACAAACTAAGTTACCAAAAATATGGGAAAACAAGTGACAAGTATGGCAATAATAGGATTTCCATAGTATAGTAATGATAAGTTCGTTGACAGGAGCCCAGCAAGGGGTGGGTAGAGCAGTTGTTGGAAGAGCTCCCATGTGCCTGCTGCGACGATCCAGTAGGCCCAAACTAGTTGCTGTGTTTTGGATCACTTGTTCTGCTCAAGTAATCCCCTCCCCCTGACAAATGGCCGCCCCCCGCCCTAACCCCCATACAGTTACATGACATATATATATATATATAAGGAGAAAATGTGTTCTTCGGATTAGTAGTTCCTCCAAAAGCAGAACATGTGATGCAAAGATGGCTGTCATGGCGGAGGTGGCTTTGGCAGCCCTTTTGAAGTCCCATTCCTCAGCTTAGCAAAGCGTGTGACTGGATCTGAAGGGTGACTCTGGGAAGCTCCTTTTTCAGTTGGGCTTAGGGCTTAATCCCCTCCCCTAATATTAAACCCTCCCACCCCCTAATATTAGATTTTGGCAGTATTTGAAATTAGCGAGGGTTGAATACTCAGGGGTGGGGATTAGGTTTGTCGCTAACAAGGAGCTTCGTATAGAAGTATCCAGAGGTCAGCAGTTTACACTTAGGCTCAGTCCTGGCAGTCGCAAGGAGGTCCTGCCTTGGGTACTGCCCCCCCTCAGTAACAGTTGGATAATGGTTATGCTATAGTTATATATAGCCCTTAATAGGACCCCTAATATAGACTGTTACTGGGTGGGGGCAGTACCCAAGTCCTGCCTCCAATTTAAGCTCGAGCGTGCCGCTTCACTTCACCGTGCAAGCTGCAGACCCTGCCCTCTCCAAAAGTGCTGGGACAAAAGCGCCGAAAAAGCGCGAATCGAACCGCTTGCCAGTAGCCTCGCTCGTAGTTTAGATTGAATAGGAATCACACAGCCACAGGACAAGGAGGGTGTGGAGGCATTGTGCAATATATTTTTGTGGGTAGCCATGGTAGCCCCTATATAGAGGACCGTGTTCTTTTCGGGTGCCTTAGGGGGATATGCATTTCTTGAGTGCCCAAATCGTGGGATGCAGCGCTTTATTCTTACGGGGCCTTCGTAGAGAGTAAGGGAATGTAGTGCCTATATAATCCCTATATGATACATCATCAATTCCCCCATTGCCTACTATGTAAACCAGTATAGTCCCCCTTAAGTAGATAGAATATGGCTTTGGGTATATTATAGTAAGATATTCTATCTACTTCAGGGGGACTCTAAGTAATGCATGAGGCCAAAGACCTGGCCAACGACGGGATCTTCAGTCAAATGCAGGGACCGCGGAGTTTCGTAGAACGGCCATAGGGGGATGGTGGGGCTATATTGGGATAATGGAAAAGAAAATGGAAACTACTATAATGGGGTTGTATAGAGATGCTTATAGAGTATATGGATGGGCTATTAGACCTTAAGGGTACAATAATCTACCCTTATTAGGGTCCTGATAAGGAATTTTAGCGTCTGATGGCCCATAGTGGTATAGGGCCTCCAGCAAACAGGGACCCCTGCTTGTTAATCCCTCGGAAAAAAGATGATAGTATGTTGCGATCTATGCTGGGGCCTGCTGTTTATGGACCAGAATATATTATCATATATTATAATATACCAGAATGTACTAAATCTATTGTAACATAGGATGATATACCATAGTACACTATAATATACTAGAATATACTCTAATCATAATACTCTACTACAAGATACTATGAAATACTATAATGTACCATGATATAGCCCTCTTATCCGATCCCAATTTAAGCTGCAAGGCTATACAGTTGAAGGGCGCGATTTCTTGTAGTTCATTTGCTTATATGATGCTCGAAGAAGCTGAGGGCGACCCCTGGCGAGGAGGCGGGAGAATTTGGAAGCCAACTTGGTTAATCCCCTCGCCCCACCCCTACCATTCACCCCCATTAATCGTGATTCCTGAAACATGTTGGTGTACCACAATGGGATAATTTAGCATGAGAGGGGTGGGGGCCAATAAACTCAGCAATTGCTGTACACCTGCAATACCCAAGGGTTGAAGGGCTATGAACAACCTGGGTTGCGGTTAAGGACCTTAAATCAAGCTACTATATTAAGGAAATCCTATCATTTCCCATATATCCCTATTCTGGTAATTTTAGCCCAGTTACTGGTGGTTAGTAGGGACCAAAAGAAGACAATCACCAAGTAAATCCATGTATAATACATATATTCTCTTATTCTCTACTACCCCAGTAAGACCAGAGAGAATGGAGATCTCTCCCAGGGGACTGTCGTGGACGAGTCCTGCTTTCTCAACTTCTTTGCCGAGTGCGAGAAGGACCCTTTGACTGCCCTTTGAGGGGGTTTCTCATGGAGATCCCCACGGTATGGACCATGGAGTGTTTTGGGGTCTATGTTGGGGACGATAGTATTTGGGGCTTATTTTGGGCACTAAGTAGTATTCCGGCGTCTGTATAATGGGCCCCCCTGGCGAATGGCGCGGAACTCTTACAGTATCTATGCCATAAACCTTCTGCAATATCGTATTGTGGCTGTCTTGCAGCATGCAGATGTACACGCGTTTTGCATGCAGATTTGTGCGTGTTTTTTGGTAACATGGTTCCAAGCGTCCCTGAAGTGTGCACGTTGTGCAGTGTGATTTTTGACAGTTTTTGGTGCAGGAAACGACAAACGGGGAAGCGGCCGATTTCCCGAGCAAGGAGGTGCCGCCATCACTTGCAGGGTGGATCTCGATTCCAGGTATTCAAATCACTCAAGTATGCCGGGTTCACTTTTACTTTTCCCACGATTGCAGACACGTGTCAGCAACCCACATTTCTTGTGGCAGGACCTCCAACGGCTTTTTACATACTGGGACGAAGCTGGAGCTGGCAATCTGGACGAGGCGCGCAGCGTTGGAAAAATCGTGTCGTCCGCCTTTTTCGCTGCGACTCCCCACTGCAGCACACTTGGTGAACATCTCTAGGCCTGAAGAGACACGACGTGGCACATGCCCAGAGAATATAGCTTCCAGAGCTGGCAGCAGTTTTTTCGTCAGTGACTGCGCTAGGAGCGAGTTGCTGAGATTCTGCCTCGCACTCGGAGCTTGCGCATCCTTGCTCTGCAGAGACGACCGGTCAGCAGATTCAAGGCGACGATTCATGAAGGTGGTCAACAAGACTGCAATTCAAGACGGCGCAGCGGGCCGAGATGCCGAACGTAGACAAGTGCCTCCCCAGCCCAAGTGGCTCGGCTCCAGAGCCTTTGAACGTCGCTACGTTGCTGCGAGGTTAGTGTCAAGGAGGCCAACAGCCTCCGCACGTTGGAGGTTGGAGACGTCGTGGAGCTTCTCGGTATGCCGAAGCAGGCGGAGACCCTTGCTGTCTGAGCTGTGTTGTCCAGTGCTGGTGCAGGTTTGCATGCATACAAAGTCCCTAATCGCTTCCCACCTAAGCATGGAGGTATTCATGAGTGCTCGTTTTGCAGTCAGACCTGTTTTGCCATCAGTCCAAATTCGCCCTAGCTGCAGGTCTAAATGGGAAAGCCATTAACCCGCAAACTTACTGCTTTCAGCCAGGTGTGTTACACATCAGTCTTGGGGTATCAAGCTTACAACAGTTCACCATGATGCAGCAAGACCCATCCCGATGGCCGATGTTTTCCTCGTGAGCTGTCAAGCGTTAACTGCAGGATCCAGAAGTGGAAGTGACGCGAGTGTCGGAAGCCTAGTATTGGAGTCATAGAAATCATGCTTATGTGTCAGGTGGATCATTCCCGTAACTTTGTATTAATTAGGGGTGTACATTAGCGTCCCTAAAGGTCAGTCTTTTTGAGAGCCCCGCATATTTTTGAGTGGTTCTCTTTGCCGAGGCAAGTGCGTGCGCTGGCAGATGGCACTGAAGGCCCGGGTAGACGAGCCGAAAAGTAATTATTGTAATTTAATCTTCCGCTCCCTACGACAAGAGAAAGGACCCCCAATATGGTTACAATGGCTATTCTTGTTATTACTACTATCATAATTACTACTACTATTATTGCCGTAGCTTCCTTAGGGTCATTTTTCATGTTTATTTCAAGAACACAAAATTTTTTTCATTACGGTTCTTCTTATTCTTATTATTGAAGCTCATATCTTTTATCATAGGTCTGGGGATTGCAGGTTGTGGTGATTATTGCTAAGCCCGACGCATAAAGCCTACTATTATTTACTATGGTTATTGGGAGGGAAGTGCCGGAGCTCCCGTTGATTGGCCAGGCTGGGTCTCGATGTCTGGCAACCAGGGGACCGACTACCTACAGGAGCAGGGTTTACGCAGAGTTTTGGGTTGAGGTTGGGCCCGCCCAGTCAGAGGGGCATGGGAGGACATATGCTCTTGCCTTAACATATCACATGCGGGACCCTAAGCCCTAAACCCTAAACCATGCTTACCGGAGACATGGCAACATCCCTGTGCAGGAGGGCGGAGGCATCTTCAAGGTAGTCAAGGCCATTGCAGCTGTAGCTCCTCATGGTCTCTTGCATGGCATGATGATACAAATCTTTGAAGTTGCCACATTTCAGGGTACTGTGGGTCATGCAGGATTTTTAGTATCAACCATCTCACGGGGCTGGGGCCCTGCATCTGCTGGCCAAACAGGAAACGCTCCTAACTGATGACTTCGAGATTGGAGTCGTCAAGGAGAAAGTGGTTAAGGAGCTCTGCAATGGATCTGAGAATGATGCATGCGAACTCTTCGAACATCTGCTGATGCATGTGATCCCAGTGCCGTACTGGCTGTGGCTCGAGAGAAGAGGAGTTTATTTTCACCCATGCCTAGCACGCATGGTGGCCTGGGTCTCCAGGTGTGGCACCACCACAGGAGATGATGGAAGGCTTGCACAGATCTGTTGTGGTGTGGCAGCCTTCTAGCCTACTGCAGCGTAGCCAATGGGATGATGTCCTCCTCGGCAAGCTGCCGCGCCGGTGAACTGCTGGAAGTTCCTTACGCTGAGATCCTGAGACTTGTGGAGCAGGCGCTATGCAAGCAATGACACTGTTTTGGTGCCTGCGCTAGTCCGCTAGTCTTGGGAGAGCTGCCCTTTGCTTGTGCTCCTACCGAAATAGCAGATGATAAACAGAAGGACCACAAAAAGGAGCTTTAGAGGAGCTCACCATTTTCAGAACCCCACTGATGGCTTGGTTCAGGATCTTGCCCGTGGAGCTTCAGCTGCTTTGGACATTGAACTGAACGAGGCATGTGCAGCTCGGTTGCTGAACACCTTCAAGCTGGAACAGCTGGCTTAGGCCCCCAAGAGACACGCAAAGATAAGAAACTTACGTTTCAGCTATGCAGTTTAGTCGGCACGCTATTCTGGGGCTCCTCGAGTGGCTGCGTACGCGTCCTTTTTGGTCTCCAGGGGCTGGGCTTGTTTGCGTTGAAGTGTCATCACGGTGGAAAGTTTTCCGCCTACTTAAGGAGCCAAGTCCAGAGTTGGTGGACTACCTGAAGGAGGCGCAGTGATGCTGAAGGTCTAGTGAGCCTTGCCTGCTGCCTCAAAAATGCATGGATACCGAATTTCACTTAGTTGTGCCCTTGCGTGCCGGTTCCCCTTATCATGCTTGTAATGCTGTTCCAAACTCCCTACAGCTAGACAATCCTCATGGATCCCTCTGTAGCCACTCAGCCCTACGTCAAGTTACACGGGCCGGTTGTCTCTGTGAACTCCCTGCGCGACACACAAGGAACCCCAATAGAATCCCAATAGAACCCCAATATAATCCCAATACAATCCCAATATAACCCCAACACAATCCCGATATAATCTCAATATAATCCCAATACATTCCCAATATAACCCCGTCATTATAACCCCAATATAACCCCAATAGATGCTTCTTTTTGCTAGGTCGAGGTTTTCAGGCTATCTAGTGAGCAGATGACGGGACCATCAACTCCCAGTTGCCCTACCTGCTAAGACCTATCTCTGGTTTGGCAAGGAATGAAGGAATGGGTCCTGGTAGTATAGTCCCCCTTAAGTAGATAGAATATGGCTTTGGGTAGAAAAAGTAAGATGCCCATATACCCCATATTCTATCTACTTCAGGAGGACTATACCTCCAATGATGTGGTTGTTCCCATTTTCTCTACCCTTCCTTCATTCCCGCGCAGAGGACAGTAGACTGTATGCAGGTTATACAGCAGGGCTCAGGCTCCTCACTTGCAATGAGACAATAATAGTAATAATAACAATAATACGAGAAAGAATAGTACCAGTAATAGTAATAACAAAAGTAATAGCAATAATGGTGTCAATAGTAGTAATAACAATAAGAATAATAGCTATACGGGTAATTTGTCCCAATTTGCTTCCCCCTTTCTTATGCACCTTTATTGGGGATGCTTTTGGTAAGGACTGAAGGGGACCGCAAGAATCATGCAAACTCTTGAGTTAGAGCAGAACTGCAGCCCAGACTTGAGGGTACCATTTTGGTTATAAGGGTTTCTGTAGGGTTACATATGGAGTTATATAGGGATTAGGGTTTAGGGTTTAGCATCCATGGCTAGCTCAGGCAGGGCAGTCAAGGATTGGCGATGCGTAATGAACAAGCGCATCGGGCTCTCCTACAAGGCCGCTGCATGCGTGCCCGTGCGGGCACCAACAATTGCCACCCTAGACCCTGGCATACCCTTCTGTGACAAGCTTATCTTACTGGTGGTTAGCCGGGAATGTGGAATATAAGCCCTACAGCCCTCATTCCCCACTAACCCTAAGCCCTGAATCCTAAACCCTACATGTCCTTCCTCATTCCCTGCTCACCTCCAGTAAGTTATAGCAAAGTGTACTGCCCTTGAAGGCCAAAAATCCAGGCCTCGTCTGGCTTGATGACAAAGTGGTGCAGGCCTTTAAAGGGAACACAGGCGTGATGTAGGGGTATACAAGCTGTGGCAGCTTAGTGGAGCACTAGGTTGAAGACCAGATGGAAAAAGGGGTATCTGGGGACCTATATGCTACAGGATTTAGGTCCTCTGTAGCTTAAATGGCGACAATACGAAAATCCTCAACAAGTTCAACTTGACTCCGTTGTAGCAACAGAAGCGCTCTGACTGTGGCAAGGTAACTTCCACCGCAGAAGTTCTTGGAGCAGTGAGGCACTTGCCTATATTGGGCTTCTCGGCTTCGATTGTGGTTCAGGGTATTGAGAGCCCTGTTATATGTACATATATACGGTACTGATAACCCAAGTGTAGCCATATTTATGAGAGGACTTCGGAGTTGTATACTCTGTAGAAGTAGGGGGCTCATAAGTGGGTTGTAAGTAAAGCAATAATTGGGTTGTAGCTATATCCTGACGCATGCGGTAACGTAGACCCGTGATTAATAAACCCCCGCCCCTGAATAGGGGGAAAATAGGGATCCTAATATTAAGGGCCTTAAGGAAAGGGCCCTAAACCCTAAACCCTAAACCGCGTATAACTCATGGGTCTACATTACAGAGCTTTGCTTGCGCTTGTTATGCCTGCGCGGAGGGCACGGCGAGCAGAGCGCTGCGGGACGAGAGGCTGGGAGATGCCTGAGTTTACAAGACCCATCCTTAAAGGGGGTTATATGGGGTTTAGGGTTCAAAAATATTATATAGGGTTTAGGGTTTAGGGTTCAAAAAAGGGGTCATATCGTGGAGTATGATAGGGGTTCTAAGCCTCAGTTTATGAGGTTCTTAAGGGGCGGGGTTTAAACCCTTTAGCCATCCAAAATACACCCCAATCCTCCCTCGTACCTCCTACCCTTGAACCACCCTCTCATAAGGTGGGGTTTAGGGTTTCGGGGTTAGGGTTTAGAGTTTCGTACCTCCTATACCCTTGAACCACCCCCTCATGAGGGCCTCGTGTCCAGCTGCCCAAGCACCAAATCAACTTGACTCTCAGCAGGCGCTGCTTGCAGCCGCTGCGCGCGAGGCAGGTAGGTCTGGGTGAGTCCAACAAAGCCCTAAATAGTAGTTTCCATTTTATTGTTTCCATTATCCCAGTATAACCCGATATAACACTAATGTAACCTTAATATTACCCTAATATGACCCCAATATAACAGCAATAGTGATGAACGCATACTGGATCCCTCCTACTTATGGAGCCTTACATCTGCAACTTACATGGGAGATTGCTGGAGGTGGAACTGGACACGCCATTGGTCACCCGGTCAAAAATTGGTTCGTGGTCAGCGGATCCTCCTGCTGCGTTCCTACTGGCTCTTGGGGTCGACTAAGATGCCCTCGCTCTAATCATGAAGCCTCGCACCCCCTGATGATGGATACCCCCCAGGTATTCTTTTGGGAGCTGTTGTTGTTGCGCATTGGGGGGGTTCATTATCGGGAGAGGTGATGACAGCGAAAATCTATACCCCCACTCCGGCCTGATCACCTGGATGACTAAAGGTTTATGGTTTAGGGTCTGAATCCCTGGTGACCCCAAAGTCTAAAATCATCTAAGCTGGGGAAATTTGCAATTTGATAACGGAGCAATAGCACCCCGAGATCACGTGATGTAGTAGACCCCATTTTGTGTTCTGTTCCTTCATTCCCCACTAGCCAGCAGGTAGTGCAGAAGCTGCCCAGGTTGTGAAGCCGCGCCATGGATCAAATTCCAAGTTCATCAGCATGTTCCCGAGCCCGCGGAAGGCCGCTAGAGAGTCACTGGTTGTCAGTGGGGACTGGAGGAAGGGAGAACATGCAATCTAGGGTTCAGGGTTTGATCTCTATAGTAATAGCTTTATATCAGCGGCGGCAATTCAGCAGCTCTCGTTTCCTGTTGCCTTCCCACATCTCCTACAAGGACCAGCAAGTGCCATACCCTAATCCTGCCCTGAACCCTAAGCCGCTCGAGCTTCAAACCCTTAGCTAATTTCTGCTGAAGCAGGTCGGGGCAAGAGCAGTGTTCGAAAGCATCGATTTGGCCTTGAACAGCTCTGATCCCTCCTGGAAGAGGGAGTCTTGGAACCAAAATGCTGTACCTCGTGGTGCGTTGCTGCAACCCCTCTATACCGTCATGGCAGACTACGTGGCTTGTGCCACGGGGAAGCTCCTGAAGCCCCTAGAGTTGAAGGTGCAGGTTCTATTTGGTGTCGTGGTGGGCGCCTGTTTGAACTCACATCCTATGGCCCTATGGGTCCTGAGCAGCGGGGCAGTACAGATGTGGGATCCCAGTCTGCCAGGTTTGCTGAAAAAGGGGCATGGAATCTTTGAGCCGCTTCCACCGGCTTGCTTGGATGTGCTTCTTCAATGTTTGTCGGGCAGCTGGGAGGCCATTCGATGTGAGTCCGAGCAGTTGGCGCAGCGTGTCGGGCTGGACGAATTGCGGGTGGACTGGCTATTGGGTGATAGATCTTGGGGCCCGCGTATTGGTGAGTTGACCTACATGGGCACCTTGGCCTTGGATGTTTGGCCAGTGTCCTGGAGACTTGCACGAGCATTTGCAGCCGGTCACCTGAGTCGCCTTGGCACCCCTCAAGATCCGTTCCCCTCCAATGACAGTGCTTGAAGGACTTTCGTGAGCCAGATGGAAGTAGGACGCCAACCATCCGATGGTATGCACGCCCGCCGCGGGTCTAACCTGAGCATGTTCTGCCTGCAGATCCTCCTCACATGGCCGAGTGACATCTAGAAGCAGCATTTTTCAACTGCGATGGTCCAGATTGGTGAGAACATAAAGCTGTTTCTAGTCCGAGTGTGATGGGCTCATGACCGGCTTCGTTGGAGCCTGTGCCCACCCCGTGAAGTGAGTACAGCAGAATTCGGGGTCTTTGTCTCACATGCTTCACAAGGCTGACCCCGAGAGCTTCCTATGCTGTGCAGTCTTGCCTGAGCAAAACATGCGCGTGCTGGCTTGCTTCGCTGCTTAACAAACAAGAGTCCCCTTCAGTAGCAGCATGCTGTCAGCCGTTGCCATCTTCCAGGAGGACCGCCGGCTAAAGATTGGTGAAACGGTTGAGGCGCGGTCTTGGATGAAGAAGCAGGAGGAGCCCGAGGCTCTGTTTCTGGGATGGTGCAATTTCACGTATCCCATCCCCGTATGTGGCAACTGCAGCGTAAGGTCCGGAATGACTCGAATGCGGTGTCGCGCGATCTCTGATGGCGCAGTTGGTTGGGCCACTGTCATGAACCCAGTGCAGGGAGCTCCTTCCTCTCCCGGTAGCCGTTGTCGCTGTGGTGCTCGTACTGCTGCGCTGGCCAAAAGACGAGTACTCCAAAGACCCAAAACGACCAAAACTACTGTAGGCTAAGTTGCCCGAAAAAACATTGATGAATGATCTCTTCTGCTACTCTTTGCACAGTCGCGACCATGCTCAGGTTGTGGGCAACCAGGGCACCGTGTACCTAGAGGCCAAATGAGAGCTACGTCTCAAAGGTCATTGACAGCTGCCTGAGCCTGCCCAAGCCGCTCAGCCGCTCAGCTGTTGCCAATGCCGCATCCCGTCACCTCTTGCCTACGTGCAACTTGCGGGACCTAGACAATCGATACTTGGCATGCCAAGCCCATATGACCCAACATGATAGATGCCGCATGTTATTTTAACATGGCGGATGTACTAAACGACCAAGGCCATAAGAGGTGGTGCTCAGAAATTTAACCCTTTGGGCCGATCTGCGCACCAACACCCTCAAGGATGTTATCTGCAAGTGTTCAATGTTCATGATAGATGAGTTTGATTGAAGCTGTGTAGATGCTTCTTGGCGCGGGAAGCTCGTTCATCTTGCAATGCTGCAGCAGGCCAGCATGCATCTTTGGCGCGTTCATCTATGCAATTTTGTAGTCAGGAATTTCACCTCGCCCTATGTAGCGGACCGCTAGCCTACGCTTATTCTGGGCGCTGGAGCGTTCGGACGCAAAAGGAGAAATGTTGTTGGCTGGCTTGCGGCTGGGGACTTCGGATTTGCAGCAGAAACTGACAGGACATGATAGAGAGACAGTAGCAGCCCTAAATGGCAGCTCTGCACAGATGTGCGTGTGTGGCTGTATCTGCTCTCATACCAGCATCTGAGTCGCACCAGGTGCGCGTGCACCTGGCCCTGGCAATCAAGAAGATCATGCGCCGCACGCTTGAAAGAGTCGACTTGAGTATTTATTTGGGGATACTGTGGTACCCAACATAGAGGAAGATTGTTTGCTCCTTTTTGGGGTCATATTTTACGTAAAGAATATAATCTTTCTGGTGTCCACCTTCTTTTGCAGTGTCAGGATTCTTCGTCCTGTTCTTCTGATGATTGCCGTTATTGTTGAGGGCCATTGGGCTTGCTATCACGGCTAGCTTGCCTTCTCACTTATTCGCACAGTGTGGCACCTATGGCTCACATGGGACTTCCATTGTAGAAACCGTACGCCGCTTTTTGACGCTCACCGCCCTTTGCTCTAAGGCAAGTATCCTGGCTGCGCCAGGGCCTTGTAGCTGTACGCCTCGGCACGCCTTGCTGAATGGGCTTGTGTTGAGGTCATAGGTACTGCTGTCAACATTAGCCTTATCAAGGGACTCTTAATCGTGGACATGCTCCCTCTTGTAGCCTAGTTTAGTCCTGAATATAATTCCTAATCGCGAACCCGTGTCCAGTAACTTATATAGGAAATCTTGACCGTAACTCATATTACGTGGGGTTTTCATTCGGGCTTCGACCCTAAGCCCTAAAGCACGAGTCAGTGTATGTAGGGAGGAGGATTGGTGAGCATTTTTATCGGGTTATCTTGTTGGGGTACCGCAGGTGAATCTTTGCCGCAGGTAGGGATAATCATAGAACCATAGAGGTGTTTCGGAATATGGGATTTTCCAAACTCCTAAGAGGAGAACCCTTTTTACAGGAACCCCTCCCAAAAGGAACCCAGAATGGTTGGAAACCCTTGTATAAGCTATTGTCTAAACTCCTAGTATCCTCCTTATGAGCCCTACTCCCTTATATAATCCAAGCTGTAACCCTCTTTGAGGAGTTTAGGCTAAAGCTCACATAGTGACTGGATGCCGCAGGTCGAGATGGCAGTCAAGTCGCTTGCGGAACTCGTGCGAGACAAGGCATTTGAGTAGTATGTCAAACAAGGGTGCCCCGAGACTCCAAACTCTAGTGGGGTGCTCCGAATAACCCCAATAAGATACGATGCTTATCAGAGGGTCTCCCAAAAAACGGACGGCTCATTCTTGGAAGCTTTCAGATTTTTCGGGTTATGCCAAAGTATAAGAAGAACATCCTGCTACAGTAGTTGGTTCAACCGCCCAAGAGCTCTAGTCATCTGGTGACATGACCGGGGTCTCATCTCGGTGTCTGCCGTGATGGGAGGTACGTGTTATAAGGACTCTTCTGAAAGATTAGATGGTGTGCTGGCAAAAGCCTGTTGCTCTTGATCCCGAGTAGTATCGCTGAGTAGGACGCAGCCTTATGTATAGGGTGCCCTAAAAGCCATCATTTTGATCAGCAAAGGCCTTCATTCCTTAAATCCCGGCTAGTGCCAAGTAGCGGAAGTGGCGACTGAGCTGGAAGGAGCCAAGTGTGCGCAGAGAGGCGACGTCAGGCAGGGTCAGCGTGGCTAGCATTCTTGATATCCCAGAATTTTTCTTCAAGAGACTATCCTCCCCAATACAGGGTAAGATTGCACTCTTCCGGATGGTTCCGGTATTTCATTTGTACTGGGATTATTTACCAATCGGCTGTAATTTCGGGTACTGCCTCCCACTCATTAACAGCTGGATCATGTTCATAATATGACTATATACAGCCCTGAAATATGACCCTTACTATAGACCCTTGCAGCGCAGGGGGGGAATACCCAATATCAAACAGATGTAATTACTTATTTGCAGTGCGCAGCTGTGGTTTTACCTACCGCACACCCTGCTGATGGGTCATAAGAGCTATAGTCGAAACTCCTCAAAGGGGGATAATATGCACAGCGTCCAGGGTTTGGGGTCTAAACTGCTTAGGTTGTATTGTATAGGGGATTATATCGGGGAGTATGATGGGGGTTATTAAGGGGGATACTTGGAGTGTAGACTATAGCTCGTCCGGCAACTGGTGTGTGAGATGCTTAAACAGCAGACGGAGTTAAACACCTCCAGCAACGCAAGTACTCACGCCAACATGCTTGAAAGCAGTCCGCGTCTAAACCACAAAACAACGACTTCCGTCAGAACATGTTAGAACATGCTTCAGTTCCAGTCCTACAATACAAGGCTTGTCTGCTTCTGCGGCTTGGGCAGCCATGGCAAATGAGCTTTGGGCCCAGGGCGTGGCGCAGTACCTTCCGGAGGCTTTGCAACTTCCGTGGTCTGCCATGAAAACATGATGAAAAGCCATCACTACACTGGCACCTCTAAGACCCTAACCCCAAATCATATCCCAAATGCCCACATCCTGTACAAATTCTGCTGCAGAAGTCAGGGCAACTGCTGCAGTTACCAGGAATCATACTCGTTGTAAACCACTGTATACTCCCAGTTTCCATTTCATGTTCCATGTTCTTTTATGTCTCAATCTCCATTACACCGCTTGTACCCCCATTTATATGTATATCTATACATATATATATATACACACACCCTAAACCCTAAACCCCTCAAGTGGAAGTATGTCAGGTAAGACAAGACCCTCAGACGGTGGCGGGGCTTTGGGCTTTCGAGGAGTCCGTGCCCTTTGGCGTAGACGACGGGGCGCAGTGTTTGTTGCTTCTATCCAGGTACATCTCTAGGTGTCATATATAGGGAATACTGGAAAAGAAGCTGGCAACTACTATAGTAAGTTGGGAATTATGTTGGGATATTATACGTACTGTGCTATATTCTTTTCTTCCCTACTAGCCGCCAGTAAGGCATTTGGGTGTGTTTGGGGGAGGGGTATAATACAAGAGGAAATTTGGCTCTAGAAAATCCGAATTCGCTGCATGGACGTTGGAGCCCGTGGCTGAGGAAAATGCACGGCTGTGCTCTCACCTAAGCCCCATACCCTAAACCCCATGTAAACCCTAAAACCTATGTAAATCCTTCACCCCAAGCCCTAAACCCTTTGTAAAACCTTAACCCAAACCCCAAACCCTCAAACGTGGCAAGGAAAGCAGACTCCAGCGACCCAAAGCGGCTCTTTTTCCTGGCCACGCTGCTTTATCATGCAGGGCGGCACCAGGAAGCTGAGCACTACTACCGGGAGGTCCCTGGGTTAAGCTTATTACTTATTACCATTACTTAGGGTTTGGGGGGGTGGTCATTTTGATTTTAGGATTCAAAAGTTAGAATTAAGGAAAGTTGGTGACCCTAAGGAATGGTAAGTGTATATGGGCTTGAGGGTTTAGGGTTTTGGGGGGTTTATAGGGTTCGGGGTCTAGGGTTTAGGGGTTAGGGTTCAGGGTTAGGGTTTAGGCGTGTTTGCTATGGGGATATTCTACTCGCTGGTGGTTGGCAGGCCCAAACCCTAAACCCGCAACCCTGAGGGTGTTGATTTTGGGGCACCGTGCATTCAGATGCCCTGAGCCCTGAGCCCCAAGCCAACAGAACCTGAGCCCTAAACCAC